CCTCATCTCTACAATAAATCAAAAAATTAGACGGGCGTGGTAGCGCGCGCCTGTAGTTCCAGCTACTTGGAAGGCTGAGGCAGAAGGATCACCCGAGACCAGTAAGTCGAGGCTGCGGTCGCTGGGAGCGTGCCACTGCACTCCAGTCTGGGCAACAGAGTGAGACTCCAACTCAAAAATAAAAATAAAAAATAAAATAAATAAAAATAATACAAAGAGCAGGATTCAGTGTGTTTCCAGGATCAGAGCTTAGTCTGTGGCCAGAGTCAGGACTCAGTGTTTGACCAGGATCAGGGACCAACATATGACCAGGGTCAGGGATCAGTGTGTGACCAAGGTCAAAGCTAAGTGTATGGCCTGGATTATGGTTTGGCATACAACAAAGGTCAGGGCTCTCTGTGACCAGGATCAGGGCTCAGTGTGTGACCAGGGTGGGGCTCAGTCTATGACCAGCATCAAGGATCAGTGTGGACTCAGGATCAAGTCTCAGCACGTTGTTGGATTACAGAGAAGGTCCACTTGTGTCTTGGTCAGACTATCTGATGGTTTGGCCCCCTCCCCCTTACCTCTGCCACCCCTGAGTCTCTTGGGAAGGTGCCAGAGTTTTGCTTTCTGCCCAAAGAGCAGCCTCAGGCTCTCAGGGTTAGCCCTGCTGCCTCTGGCCCTCCAACTGACCCTCTCCACATCTGCAGTTAGAGGACTCAGCTCGACGCTGGGGACGAGAGAAACAGGACTTGGCCACACGGTTACAGGAGCAAGAACACGGCTTCAGACGCCCCTCAAACTCCATCATCATAGAACAGCCTGTGAGTGACGCCCTGCAAGTGCTACTGGGGGTTCTGGTGGGGAAGGGCGGTAGCCACTCCACCCCCAAGCCACTGGGCCCTGAGAAGAACCACTGAGGGCCAGCTCCTAGGCTGAGAACCAGAAGTCTGAGTTGCCAGTTCCCCAGTCAAAGGCCTTGCTTGGTCCCCCACACACCACCTGGCTGAGGGGAACAGAAAACCCCTGCCCAGACGCCCCCTCCCAACAAGCAGGATTCAGTGTGTTTCCAGGAGTGCTGTGAAGCTCAAGGTGAAAGTGACTATGTGAGGGGTGACCTGAGCAGACGTCCCCAGGGTTTCAGAACTGCTGCTAGTGGGCAGAGTGGCTTGTGTGCTCTCGCCCCTGACTCCCCAGAACCTAAGATTCTCCTGATGGCCCACCCGCCTTGGGTGGCTGTCACGTGCAAACAGGCTCCACTCTGCCCGCCTCCCAAGAACAGGCCCGCCCACAGGCTTCACTCTGCCCGCCCACCCAGCCCCAGAACAAGGGCCTCACTCTCCCCTGTGATTGAAAATGGTGTTTCCTGTTTTTGAGCCAGCGGTACTTTCTCTTGGCAAGAGACTTGGCAGCTCCTGGGAAAGGCTGGAAGGGACGAGGGGATGAACAGGGAGCACAGGGTGAATTCTGCAAACCCACCTGAGCCCTGGGGACTCAGGAAAATCAAGTGTCACCTGCTGTGATCGGGTGGCTTTAGAAATCTTCAGGAAGTCGTGACCCACTGGATTTGGCACCCTCTGAGGCAAGACTTGCCTGGTAAGATGCCCTGGAGCAGGGGCCCCAAGGATGGGGTCATCCTCACATGCCTTGCCTCACGTGCCACAGAATGCCTCCACCCACTCCACGGACCCCAGGCAGCCCTCGAAGCTGGAGCCCTTGCCGCCCGGCTCAGACATGAAGCTCAGCGAGCCCCTGGACCCCCGGAGACAGACCTCTGACCCTCAGCAGATCTAAGCACCGGAGCGGGCCTGCCTGCCTGAGTGAGGGACGTCTCATCCCCACTCCCTAGAAGTGACTTTATTAAACGCCATAGTTCCATGAGCACTCACCTCCTTCCTGGAGCAGGGCCTGCTTCCTCCTCCCAGACCTCACTCAGGGCCTGGGCCCTCTGCTGCAGCCTTAGAGCCTCCTGCCTGTCCTGGGATCTGGTGTATTTGGAATGCCAGAGGCCATAGTGGACCCAGGAGGGGGGACAGAAAAGGCCTTCCAAAGCTGGGGCCAGGGAGACAAGCTCCTTCCTGGTCTCCAGAAGTGAGGTCACCAGAGGCCAGCTCTGCAGGGAGACGCAAGGGAGGCTAAAACTTTCCATCTGCCCCAAGCCTTCTATCATGTGTAAGTTGCCTTTTTCACGTTTGGTTCATCTGTCTCTTGGGAAGGGAAAGACTTGAAGCTGTCCTATGGCAATCAGCTACATCATGGTATAAAATACCCCTTTAACCAGCTTGGCTGAGCTGCTGACATCAGGTCCAAATGTAGCCAGTGACAGGAAAGCAGTTGGGGCCAAGGGGAAGGAGGCCCCACTGTGGTCTCATCAGAAGGTCTGGGTTTTAACTGCAAGCACGCTGTGTGACTTCGGATGACCCAAGCAACCTCTCTGAACTTCAGTTTCCCCATCTATCCCATGCAGAGCCTGACCCCTTTGGCAGTAAGGCTCCTCTCAGGTCTAACATTGCTGAATCAAAGCTGACTCAGGCCCAGAAAAGAGCAAGGAACTAGGAAGAAGAGACAGAGACAACAGGGGAGAGGGTTGTGGGCAGAGGGAGAAGAGCAGAAATGCCCCAAGAGTGGACCCAGACCTGAGGATCCCGGTAGGAGGGGCCAGGCCACTGGGCCACTGTCCCAAGCTGGACTAGCTCCCTGCTTGCCTGCAGGACTTGGACTTGGATAGCCGAGGAGTGGGCTATCCGGAGCTGAGGATCTCAGAGGGCGTTAGGGGCTGAAATTGAGACTGTGTCCTACCGCCCAAATAACGCACCAAGACTCTGCTGCAGCCTCCCTGCCTCTGCCCAGACCTTGGGCAAAGGGGCATGTCCCCCTGGAACAAGCCAAGACGAGGGTCAGGTGGGGAGTGGAAGAAGCATGTTGGCCTCTTGTCCCAGGAGCAGTCATCTCACAGCAACCCCTCAGTGACATGGTGTCCTACCCACAGGCCTCAGCCTTGGCCATGCCAAGCCTCGGGCCAGGTCTTGGCAGGAAGTCCTCATGGCCCCACCGAGGACTGCTACCCAGGTTTCAGCCAAGCAGAGCCCTATGTGAGTCTCACCCCTGCCAGGCAGGCCCTCCCAGGAAGGCAGGACTAGCCCACACCCCCCAGGCCACCCCAGCTCTCCACGGAATTCCACCAGCTCCTTTGTCCTTCTGCCTGATGTGTCCCTGGTCCTGGCACAGTGTCAGTACCCCCACACACACTCTGCCTCGCCCCCAGTCTCAGGGAGCCCAGGTTTGATCCTGCTGGTTGCTGAGCTGCTGTGGGCATGAAGGTCATGGTAAAGGTGGCTCCGAGTGTGGCTGTCTAAGAGCCCATTGGGAAGAAGAACACCACATGGTTCAGCTGTTTATTGTCTAAGAGGCTGGGAAACGGGGAGGGCATCGCTGAGCTGTGGCAGGTGACCACCAAGAGCCCAACTACCCTGCTCAGTGGGCTGGGGCTGGGCAGAGAAGACAAGCAGGCCTGGAGACAGAGGAAGAGATCCACAGCACCCCCCACCCAGCCTTCTCCCTGCATGGCTGCTGGCATCCTCTCAGATCACGCTGGGGGTGCATCCTGCTTAAGGGGCTGGAAGGTCAAGAAGATGGGCTTGTCAGGCACCAGGATGAGGTTGAACGTGGTGCCCACATCACTGAGATGTTGGATTCCAACTCGGAAGTTCTCCAGCATCTGAGAAAGGCGGGTGGTGGACTTAGGGGTGGGCGGGGAAGGGCCAGTCTCCTGGCCTGGCTCATTCACCTGTAGGCAGTGCCTGTGGACGGTGATCTTCCCCAAGGGGTTTACCACCAGCTCCTCGTGTAATCCTGAAAACACCCACTAGTGCACTCTTCCTTTGACTTGAGTCTTGATCTTAACTTGTCTACAAAGCCTCCCTTCCACCCTGCCCACACGCCATCAGCATTGTGGGTAAACCAGTGGGGGTACCAGTGGGTGGTGGGCAGTCAAGCCAAAAGAAGACACAGCAGGGAATTATGGGAGGGGAAAGGGGCAGTGACTGGAGGCAGATGTGCCCCAGCTCCTTGCCCCCAGGGCTCTGAATAGAGACGGGAGGAGGTAGCCCAGCGCCTTCTTTAGGGCCAGCTCAGGAACCCAGGTGTCCCAGACTCGACTCACATGGATGAGGAGGATGGTCATCTCCAGTTCAGCCATCCGCCGACCCAGACACTGGCGCACACCCCAGCCAAAGCCCAGGTTCCGGAAGTGGGTGATGTTCTTGTCTTTGCTCAGCCATCGGGTGGGATCAAAATTCTCCGGGTTCACAAAGAAGGCGGGTTCTCGGCCCAGGGCGTAGTTGGACACCTGAACCAGTGTCTAGAGCAAGGTGACCAGAGGCGTGAGTGGACCCCATAGCCCTGAGCCAGCATCCCTGTCCCCTGCTCTCTCACCCATCCCTGCTCCCCAGCATGGCTGCCCAGCTATCCAGGACAGGACATTCTGCCCGCTGTGTGACCTTGAACAAGGCTTCACCCACCAAATGGGGATGGCTGAAGACAAGGATGGACAACCCAAGAGACTGTCCTGCCCTTTCCTCAAACCATGAGGTTTACCTCCCAACTGGGCCCCAGCAACATCCCAGAGGTCATCACCCTGTGCCCACCACCCCTGCCCTCACCTCTGTCTGCGACTGCAGTCTCCTACTGACCTCTCTGGCTAGCTGGTAAAGCCTGTAGCTCCTTGTCTGCACCTACCTTGGCAGGAATCATGTAATCTCGAAGAACCAAGTCATTGGCAAGGTATCTCTGCAGAGTCACGGAGATGGGGTGGAGTCTGCGGGAGGAGAGAAGGGGGCACTCAGAAGCCTGGACACAGGCCCCGCCCCCAGGGGGCATCTCAGCCCTAACTGTGGCAGCCTGGGATATCTGGGGGTGGGACCCTGGCTCTGTTTCCTCCTCCCCATTCCCAGCTGTCTTCTCCAGACTCCTCACTTCCTGCTTCCAAGCTCCGCCACACCCATCCTTGTAGCCCTTTCCCCCGGGTTCCGGCCTGGCCCTGTCTCGGGGTGGGGTTAGGTTCTGGGTTGGGGGAGGTACGGGTGCATGTGGGCTTGCCTCAGGGTCTCCTTGATGCTGGCTTTGAGGAGCGGGACCAACTGCAGCATCGTGGCTATGTCTCCCTGGGCCTGGCGCCGGGCAGCCAGGACCTCCGCCCGCAGCATATTCTGCACCTTCAGGTTGCGCGACATCTCGTATAAGTGCCACTGCAGGGTCATGGACGTCTGCGGGAGAGTGGGATGCAAAAGACCAGGAGGGCCTATCATTCCCAGGCACCTTGAGGCCTTGGCCCATGCTGAAGTTTCATTTCTTTTTCTTTCTTTTTTTTTTTGAGTTGCACTCCAGGCTGGAGTGCAGTGGCATTCCAGTGTCAACCTGCTGGGCTCCGGTGATCCTTCCATCTCAGTCTCCCAAGTAGCTGGAACTACAGGCACATGCTACCACACCCAGCTAATTTTTTATTTTTTGTAGAGATGATGTCCCACCAAGTTTTCCAGGCTGGTCTCAAACCCACAGACTCAGGTAAACCACCCACCTTGGCCTCCCAAAGTGCTGGGATTACAGGTTGAGCCACTGAGGCCCGCCTGAAGTTTCATTTCTAAGATCTTCCCTCTCCCGCCACCTATCCCCCCCACCCCTATCTGCAAAAGCAAAGCACATTCTGAAAGGCAAATGTACAAGAAACCATTCTCGCCACTCAGGGAGGAGTGTTTGGGGGCCACACCCATCCCTCATGTTGCCAGAACCTTCTGTAGAGTGTCACCCACATATCCAATGCCTTCTTCAAAGAATCCCAGAGGCTGTAGCGGCCAAGTTCTATCATAATGATTATACTCCAAGTGACTGTCATTCCTCTTGAAACACCTTGGTAAACTTCCAGCCCCCTCCCCAGCAGAACTCCCTAAAACCTTGGCCTCTGACTGTAGCAGCACAGCTCAAGTAAGGCTCGGAGATACTGAAACCAGACCCCCAGATCTACGTCGTGTCAGTGTTGCAACTCCCATGTGATATACGCTGAGATTAACCAGCTAATCTCAACATAAACCAGACCTTGTGACCATGAACCCTTCCCTGGAGGTCTGAGTGACCCCTGAGTGACCCCCTCCATTGCCATGGTCCCAGATTCCTCAATGATGATGAATGAATCCCATTTGGGACCCTGCCTTGGAGCAGCCAGGACACGGGTGGCTGCCACTTCACCTTACTAATGATCAGAACTTTGTTCAAGAGGCTTAGACACTCTCCTCCCTCCTCCTGGCAGGACAACAATGAAAAAAATGTCACCCAACCTGTTTTTGGCTGAAAATCCTTGCCTGGCTCCCTAGAGCACCTGGATGAAGTGCAGAGGCCCAGGTCTTACCCTGGGGCCCCAACAGGTCCATCACTGCTCCTCCCCTACCCCTGCCTCCTTCTAGCATGCTCCAAATGCTCTGGCTTCTTGGAGTGACTTACAGCCTCCGAGCCCAGAAATCTTCCCTCTGCTGGTTCCTCTTCCTCGAATTCCCTTCCCCACCTAGGAATCAAGCATGTGCTCCATTTTCAAGACTCCAATCAAATGTGTGTGTCGGCTGGGCACAGTGGCTCAAGCCTGTAATCCCAGCACTTTGGGAGGCCAAGGCGAGAGGATTGCCTGAGCTCAGGGGTTTGAGACTAGCTTGGGCAACTTGGCGAGACCTCGCCCCTACAATAAATCAAAAAATAAGCCAGGCGTGGTAATGCATGCCTACAGTTCCTACTACTTGGAAGGCTGAGGCAGAAGGATCACCTGAGCCCAGCAGGTCGAGGCTGCAGTGGCAGTAGGCGTGCCATGCTAATCCAGCCTGGGCGACAGAGTGGGACAACAACTCAAAAAATAAAAATAAGTAAAATGTGTGTCTCTGTCTCAGTACCTCAGGACCTCCAAGGCCTGCCACAGAGTAGGTACTTGGGAGATACCTGTTTAATAAGGTTGTTTATAAGTACTAGCTGTGTGAACTTGATCAATTTCCTTAACCTCTCTGTGACCCAGTTCCCCCATCTACAAAAGGAAATAATAGTAATATACCCCATAATGTTGTTTTTGAGTATTCAATTCAATCCTAACACAATTTAGGACCCTGCCTATCATCTCATACATGCTTAATAAATGCTACCTCACAATTGTAGCATCCTGGGTGCCAGTGAGCAATTTCTGAAGATCTCCTCTACAGACCTGACAATGAACTATGTTTAAAATATGCTCAAGCCTGGTACGGTGGCTCACACCTGTAATCCCAGCACTTTGGGAGGACGAGTCCGGGAGTGTGAGACCAGCCTGGGCAACATGGCGAGACCTCGTCTCTACAATAAAATAAAATTAGCCAGATATGGTGGCAAGCGCCTGTAGTCCTAGCTACTCAGAAGGCTGAGGCAGAAGCATCATCCGAGCCCAGCAGGTCAAGGTTGCGATGAGCCATGATCATGTCACTGCGCTCCAGCCTGGGTGACAGAGTAAGACACTGACTCAAAAAATAAATAAATTTAAATAAATAAATATAACATATGCTCAAAGGCTCCATCTGCAGCCTGTTGTGGGGATGGAAGCCCTTCCCTCAGAGTGTCATAGAGACTTATTAGCAGAGAAAGCAGGCTATTAGCCCCAGGACTGAACACACATGCTCCCTGGTCCTGAAACTCTGTTCTTCCTCTCTCCTCCTGGCACTTTCTGCAAGACACAAGGTGCCTTTCAGCTCCTCGATGGAGGCTGTCCCAGTCCTGCATGTCCCACGAGTCACTCCCGGTCTCCCAGTTTCATCCATAGCTGGTGTGTGCCTCTGTCATCACAGTCCATAGCATAATGAACAGCCGGGCATGGAGGCTCGTACTTGTAATCCCAGTACTTTGAGAGGCTGAGGCAGGAGGATCGCTTGAGCCCAGGAGTTCGAGACCAGTCTGGGCAACATAGTGAGACCTCATCTCTACAAAAAGTTAAAAAAAAAAAAAAGTAGTGGAGTGTGATGTGACTGAATAAAGGGAGAATCCCTTCTGCCCAGGAGTCCAAGGCTGTGATGAGCCATGATTGCACCGCTGCACTCTAGTCTGGGCAACAGAATGAGACTTTGACTCAAATACATACATACATACATACATAAAAGTAACATGGTAACCATCTGTTCACATTACTGCCTCCGTGTTACAGGCTGAATTATGTGCCTCCCCAAATTCCTGTGTTGAAGTCTTATAACCCCTAGAACCTCAGAATGTTATGGGGCCTTGAAAGACATAATTAAGATAAAATGAGGTCACCGAGGAGGACCCTGATCCAACTATGACTGGTATCCTTATAAGAAGAGGCAGTTAGGGCCTGGACACAGAAGGAAGACCATATGCAGACAGAGATAGAAGGCAGCTGTGTACACGCCATGGCCAGAGGCCTCACAGTGAACCAGCCCCGACTACACCCTGATCTTGACCCTCCAGCCTCCAGAACTGTGAGAAGATGAATGTCTGTTGTCGATACCCTCCAGTCTGTGGAACTGTCATGGTGGCCTTAGTAAACGCGATTAACATCCCTCCTCTCTGATGCATTTGAGGACATTTGATCTCCTTGTGGCCTCAGTGCCTGAGTCATAACGAATAATCAACAAATACTAGATAACTAACCCTCACTATCACACTCGCATGAGAAAGTTTAAGAACTGGGAAAAGGGAATGGCACATGGGACAGATAAGTGTTAACATTCAAAAAGAGAAGTTTTGGCCAGGCACAGTGGCTCACGCTGGTAATCCCAGCACTTTGGGATGCTGAGGCAGGAACATCGCATGAGGCCAAGGAGTTCAAGACCAACCTGGGCAACATAGCGAGACCTCATCTCTAAAAATATTAAAGAAAATTAGCTAGGCATGGTGGCACACACCTGAAGTTTCAGCTACTTGGGAGGCTCAGGTGGGACGATCACTTGAGCCCAGGAGTTTGAGGCTGCAGTGAGCTATGATCGCACCACTGCACTCCAGCCTGGACAAGAGAACAAGATCTTATCTCTAAAAAAAGAAGCAAGACAAAAAGAAGTTTCTGGAGTACTGGAGAGAGCACGAGGGAGACACCTCAGCAGAGGCCTCCGGGTGCCAGGGCACTATGGTGCACTGAGAGCTGGAAGGGGGAGGAGGCGGGACAAGAAAAAGGTCCCTGGATGGCAGAGCCTACAGCACGCTCCACTGGCCTCCCGGTTTCTCGGGGCTCCGGCCTAAGTAAGCAATGTCCTCCACCACGAGCTGAGGGCCCTTGGCTGGCGCAGCTCCCCATCAGTGGGGCTTCCATAGAGCAAGTATCTGGAGGGGTCTCCCTCCCATAGAGACCCCGTGTGGAGCCTGGGCCTCACCACCACGCCCAGACTCTCCTTTCTCACAGGCAAACAGAAATCAGCTTCAAGCCACACACCGGACGACCCGACTTTGACCTCATCCTCCTAGGAGATTCAAGTCTGGGAAGTGGTGCTGAGGTGGTGCAGGGGATGTATCCCCCATGGGACCCCCCAAGCAGCAGGGTTTCAGATAACGAGCAGCCTGGCAGGAAGGGGCATGTGGACACGGAAAGACACAAGGTGGCCTATGGCTGCCTCACCGTGTCCACACCTCCGGCCAGCATCTCAGTGATGTTGGCCTTGACGTCCTCGAAGGGCAGCTTGCTGGTTTCCAGGAGTTTGTAGAGGACGCCAGGGTACTTGCTGCTGACCGTTTTTTTCTGTCTTGAGTCCCAGCAGAAGTTCTGGGTGTACTTGTCAGCTGTGGGGCAGGAGAAAAGAAAGAGTGAGGTTCCCTGCAGGTGGACGGGAAGGAGGGTACCTTTGCTAGAGGTGGTGCCCAGGGCTTGGGCGTCCTGTGCTTTGAGAGCTGCCGTTTCATTGAACACTTACTCTGTACAAAGTCCTTCATATCTGTTTTTTCATTGAATTCTTGGGTTATATGACACCGTTCCCATTTTACAGATATGGGAAACTAAGGCACAGAGAGCAGTTGTTTGCCCACGGCTCCATGGGGTGGAGGGGCAGAGGTGGGACTTGACGCCACCATACCTCCACCAGCCTTCTCCACCCATCTTTCCCCATCTCTCCCCCGCAAGTCCTGGCCCTCTGTCACCCAGCATAGGGCTCAGACACTGGCCCTGCACCTTCTAGGAATCATGAGCACCTTCGAAGAATAGCATGGACGTCTTCACTCCTCCTTCTCCAGAAAAATCTAGTCATCACCCACAGCCAGTCTTCAGCCCATTTCCAGGGGTCCAGGGACTTCTTGAAACCTCTCCAGAGAGTCAAGTCAGCACCCGTGGACCCAGCGTGGGGCCAAGCGGCCGACCGAGGCCTAGGGCTCCCAGTTGGTCCTGGACCAGTCTGGGTTCCCACCCCCTGAGGTAAGCCAGGCCCCAAGGTATGGCCTGAGGAAACCTGACCTTTACTGAAAATCACATCCCATGAGGCCACGTGGTCCCTCCAGGTCTTGGTTCTGAACAGCCGGAACAGCTCTGGTGGGAGACTGAGCATGGGCACGCTCGTGTGAAACATCTGATAGATGGCGTCAATGAAGCGCTGGGCCTCGGGATCCACCACCTCCTCCAGCATCCCCAGGCGCTCCCCGAACATGAGGCTGGTGATGGCTGTGGGGAGGCAGAGGCTAGGACTCCACTCCCACCCCGCCACCCCGAGCCTCAGCTCCCAGGGACGCCTCTACCCTCACCCCCACAGGGTCTCCCAGCCTCCTTCTGTAAAGAACCCGGGGGCCTGAGTGTAGGGTGATGGCTGTGATGGCTGTGGGGAGGCAGAGGCTAGGACTCCACTCCCACCCCGCCACCCCGAGCCTCAGCTCCCAGGGACGCCTCTACCCTCACCCCCACAGGGTCTCCCAGCCTCCTTCTGTAAAGAACCCGGGGGCCAGAGTGTAGGGCTGAGGGAAGCCGTCCTCCAGCAGAGGGGTACCAGAAAGACCCTGAAAAGGGATTTTGAATGGAAAGCAGGGTTTCTAGCAGAGCCAGGAGAGGGCCCAGGCCAGGATGACACCACTCTGCCCACCCTTCCAGCAAGAGAGCTCCTCATCTTCAATTGACTGAATTGGATTAATATTTCCTGAAACAGGTCAGACGGGAGACCACGGGACATGTATTTCTGAGTAATTGGTCCTCCAGGACCCAGTCTGGCTGGGCCTAAGAAGTCATAACAGGTTGGGTATGGTGGCTCATGCCTGTAATCCCAGCATTTAGGGAGGCTGTGGCAGGAGCATCACTTAAGCCCAGGAGTTCAAGACCAGCCAGGGCAACATAGTAAGATCCCATCTCTAATTTTTTTTCTTAAAGTCACAACAACCCCAAGTTTGTCCCACCTATTATGTGAGCAATTTGAATATTGATTTTTTTTTTTTTTTAATCAGGATCTTACTGTGTCATTCAGTCTGGAGTGCCACAGCACAATCACCACAGGCTTGACCTCCTGGGCTCAAGTGATCCTTCCTCCTCGGTCTCATAAATAGCTGGGACTACAGGTGTGTGCTACCATGCTTGGTTAGCTTTTTACTTTTTGTAAAGACAAGGTCTTGCTATGTTGCCCAGGTTGATCTCAAACTCCTGGGTTCAAGCAATCCTCTCACCTTGACCTCCCAAAGTGCTGGGATTTATAGGTGTAAGCCATCTCCCCTGGCATGAATACTGATTTTAGACCAAGCTCCAGGCACCCCGAATCTCCTAAAGTGACTATACAGCTTCATCAAGCCACAGGGCCTTTGCATATGCTGTTCCCTCCACCTCTACTGCCTGACTTCCTTACCCCATCTGAATAACTCCTAGGTATTCTTTCATGCCTAACTCAGATTCACCACCAAACCCTCCTCTCCCTTACCAGACATGGAAGGTCTATGTCCTGTGATATGGAGGTTTGGAGAATGAAGGTCAAGCCAGGCTCCGGCTTTTGGAGCATGGTGGCCTTGGGGACCTGGACTCTGAGGGCCCTCACCCCCACAGCATGGATATCAGGTGAGGAAGGAGGCACGTCCCTCTGGGTGACTGACGGTGGGGTTGTGCTAAGTAGCTCACCCAGAAGCCAACGTCAACACTTCAGCAGAGGCTGCACTAGGTCTCAAGGTGAGACAGTGAAGCCCGAGTCCTCCCAGCCCCAGACCTGTGCTAGCCAGGTGCCCACCCCTTACACTCAAAGGCAAAGCGAAACAGGTCATCGCTGATGTCTCCTGAGAACTTTCCCAAGCCCTCCTGCTTGATGCGCCTGCGCAGGACGCCGATGAAGTCCCGAGCCACTCCGTCCAGCAGGGGCACGAAGTTCTTGATGGTCTCTGGAGCCATCACCTCCTGGTTCAGGACCACCCGGTCCTTCTTCCAGGCTTCCGCGTTCCTGAGAAAACACAGGCCCGCAGGCCCTCGTGGTCACAGACCCCAGGCCTGGCAAACATGGAGGGGCTGACTTGGTTCTCGCGGAGGCTGGGCCATAGCTCAGAGCATCCAGCATTCCCGTGAGGGCTCTTCCCTTCACTCCTCCCAACACCCTCTGCCTCTCGCCTCTTCCCTACCTGGTGAGGAGAGGAGAAGGGAGAAATGAGGGAACAGGAAAACAAAACCTGACTCCCTTCTACTCCCTCTGCTGCCACTGTCAGCCCGGGTCTTTTATTTATTTTTTTAGAGATGGGATCTTGCTATGCTGCCTAGGGTGGTCTCAAACTCTTGGCCTCAAGTAATCCTCCCGCCTCAGCCTCCCAAAGTGCTGGGATTCCAGGCATGAGCCACCCCGCTGGGCCTGGAACTCATACTCTTCCAGCCCTTTGAGTGACGTTCAAGCTCTCAGGGCTTTGCCTTGGCTGCAAGCATGTATTCCACGCCACCGCCCTTCCTCCTGGCTGATGCTCACTTCTGCCACGCCAGAGCACTTCCATCTCAACTCTTCTGACTCTTGCACAAAATTGACTGACCTCTCCTTCTCTGCACCCCCAATGTGTCCTGTTACTCACTTTGTTGGGGGGAACTGGGGTGCACAGAGCTGGTTTCCTCATAAACCTCAGCTCATGGCGCACTCTTGAAAACTAAGAGTGTGACCGTAACTTACATCTGCTCAAGTGGACCTGTCCCATGCTTCGTCCCCATCTAAGGGGACCAACCCCGAGTCCCTTGCTCTTTTTTGTGTGCAGTATTATTGGATCAAAAAAAATTTTTTGCAGGGCTCGGTGGCTCAGCCTGTAATCCCACGCTTTGGGAACCCGAGGTGAGTGGATTGCCTGAGCTCATGGGTTCAAGACCCGCCTGGGCAACTTGGCGAGACCTCATCTCTACAACAAATTAAAAAAAAATTAGCTGAGCATGGTAGTGTGCCTGTAGTTCCAGCTACTTAGAAGGCTGAGGCGGAAGGATCGGGGAGTGTGCCACCGCACTCCAATCTGGGTGATGAAGTGAGACTCCAACTCAAAAAAGAAAAAATTTGGTTTTTTTTTGAGTCGGAGTCTCATTCCATCGCCCAGGCTGGAGTGTGGTGGCACACTCACAGTCACTGCAGTTCCGACCTGCTGGACTCAGGTGATCTTCCACCTCAGCCTTCCAAGTAGCTAGAACTACAGGTACGTGACACCATGCCCGGCTAATTTTTTTTTTTTTTGAGTTGGAGTCTCACTCTGTCACCCAGACTGGAGTGCAGTGGCCACTCCTGGCCACCACAGCCTCGACCTGCTGGGCTCCGGCGATCCTTCCACCTCAGCCTTCCAAGTAGCTGGAACTACAGGCACGCACTACCACGCCCAGCTAATTTTTCTTGATTTATTGTAGAGATGAGGTCTCGCCAAG